GGGTTAAAAAAAGTGCCCCCAAGCCCCCCTTGCCCGGGGCTGACACTGACGGGCCGCTACGCGGGCCGGGCGCTGGCAGAGGGCACCGAGCCCCCGGGGGTGCCCGGGCCGTCGCCCCCGCGCTGGCACGCGCGCCCCGCCGACCGCGCGCGGCATCCGGAAGTTTGCTGTTAACGCCAACCCGCCCCCAAGTTGCTCTGATAAGAGATCGGCTCCAACCAAAAGACTCTGTCTATCCTCTACGTATTGGTGGCGTTTTGTTTGGGTCACAGGAAAATGCGGATTTGGGGTGACTTTTTTTTAAATCTGAAAATTAGGGTTTTTTTTTTAAATCGGAACAACCCAGAATCCCTGCGAATCGCTCTCAGCAGGCTCCCCTGGCACTGCCCGCCGCGCCCTGCCCCGCGGCTTGGCAGAGACCGGGACGGACCGTGTCGGGACGGAGCAGCCTCGGTGGGTAGCCTTGCACCCGCTGCCTGCAGCTCTTCGCCGCCGCGGTTCAGAGAGTAACGTTTTGCAGGGGAAAGCGGGCCCTCCGCCGCAGTGCGCCTAGGGGCCTGGGGGATAACGGACCCCCGCGGCCATCGGCCTGCAACTGGAGCAGTTACCCTGGTACCCGAAGCGGGACGGCAGCTAATCCTAGCACCGGGGACGTGCACAGCCCCGGGTGCTGCCAGCTAGGAGCATGTCCCTGAATGCAGAACCCCCTAAAAGCCGCAGGACCCAAACTTGGTGGGTTACAGTCAAGTGAAGGGAGCATCCGAAGTCCCAGACCGGGCTGGAGGATGCTTGCCTGTAGTATCGGGGGCACCCGAACCCTAAGACCTCCCCGTAGGATGCCTGCCAATGGGTTTGGGAGTATCTGAAGTCCCAGGTGATGGGTGTGGGATGGAGGATGCTCACGGGTTGTATTGAGTTCTGCCTGTTCAATCCATCTGGTTTTTGGAACGATTCAGCTCTGCTCACTCGATATGATTTGGCTGATCTGGCCTGAAGCACTAAATATATTACCAAAAAATAAGTAAAAAATAGTCAGGGCCCAAACCTGACCGAAGGCTCTCGCCCTGCGGGGAAGTGGCGTATGGTCGAGCCAGTCTGCGTCCGCAGAGCTGCGCCGCCGAGGGGAAAGGCAGGTGGGCAGTGGGTGTGGGGAGAGGGACGTCGGTTTGTCCCGACGCAGCCACGCTGTCCCATTGCTTTGCAGCAATTCTCGGCGCTGACCGAAGTGCTCTTCCGCTTCTTGACGGAGCCCAAGGAGGTAAGGCCCCCGGGGCAGGCGCAGGCGAAGAGTTTGCCTCCAGCCGGCTGCAGAAAAGAGCCCAGAGATGAGGCTGCGTGTCTGCTCTTCTCCTTTTCCAGGTGGAAAGGTTTCTGACTCAGCTCTCGGAATTTGCTGCCACGAACAAAATCAGCCTGGGGCCTTTGAAAAATATCGTCAAAAGTCTCCTCTTGGTGCCGAACGGTGAGTACTCTGGGCAGGACCGGGCAGGCGGGCGGGAGTGTTGACTCCTGGCCTGAACTTGAAACCTGCGCCAATGCATCTGCAACTGTCCCGAGCCCCCTGGAGCCCTAAACCATTCAGCCGCAGGGTTGGCGCCCCCATTACTACGCAAATGCTTCGCAATTCAGAATGAAGAAGGGATTTTCATTACCACAATACCTAAGCCGGGCTTTGCAGAGCGAGGGGCCTGTAGCCTCTTAGATCTTGCACACACGAATCCTGCTGCTTTAGGTAGCTTTGGTAAAAAAGTGATGGGGGTGAAGCCCACGCAACCGCTGGATGGGAACCCGCGGACCGGTTTAAAACTGGCTGCACCAATTTAACTTGCATTTGTGATTTGCACCGTTGGTTAAATGAATGCAGCGGTGTTGAGAGCAGGTCCCCGTAGGAGCTCCCATCCTGATGAGTCGGCATTGTCCTTTGCAGCAGGAAGATGTGCTCCCCCAGACAGAGGCAATTCAAGCCCTATTATAGCGCGCAGGACATGGGAATACTTCAAAGCCTGTCTGTGCAGCTGCCTTTGGAAGGGTAGTTTCGGTTTATTGTGCGAGCAGCTCGCCAGCCTCAAAGTGGGATCGGAAAAGCCCGCTGCAGCCACCGGTCTGACTGCCTGCATTTTATTAGCTTGCTCCGTACG